TAAGAGAAAGCAAGAAAAGTAGAGAAAACCACAATCAGAAGGTCCCACGTGCCAAGGTTCCTGGAGATCCACAGACAGACGAACAGAATTCCACATTCCACAGAATGCCTCAGAGGGGCATTTTTTCATTGGCTCTCTGTGAGCAGTGAAAATAGTACAGCGCTGGGACGAAAGGCTGGCTCCAGATTAAATGAGACCGAAAATCAAGGCCAAAGCAAATGGTGGTCAAATGAAGACAGTCAGTTCACAGAAATGATCTTTTCACACAGTGTATGAATTAAAAGCCTCCATTAATAAACAAATAGAAAAGCTTCATGTAGTAAGAAACTGAGGATTTTCTGAGACCTTCCAAGACAAATTCACACTGAGTCGATAACAGGAATGTGCCCAAAGGATAATAGCTACAATTCTATCAGGAGTAAAGCAAATTTCAGCAACTTAAATACGTGGCTGAAGAGTAGTGCTAATTACTCTAACCAGTTAGTCCAGCCTGAAGGGTGCAAGCTTGGTGACCCGTCTCCTATGTCACTTTTCAAAATTCCTTTCACTCTTGATAAAACATATTGTGTTTAAAGGGCTCAACACTGGAAATTTTTAACAAAAGTTTTGAAAGGAACAAGTATATTCATTCAAATTTTTTTTAAACCCACCTATCATTTTGCATAAAAAATACTGAAATACTATTACAGTCAGTTACTTATATAAAATATTTACTTATTTTATGGGACAACCGAAGGGAGAAGCTTCTGCCCACTAACACTACCATAATAGCCCAAGGTAAAATAAATGGATCAACTTGATCTTGGAGCTGGTGTCAAATCCAAGAGACCCATATGAGGGAAAGAATAAACAAAATAATCGTCGTCATGAAATTACAAGGAGAGCTGTGCATTTCAAGGCTGCTTTGAAAGGACAGGAGACGCGCTATGAAGAGCACCGTACGATGCCCTACCGCTCCTGGATACGCCAAGGGACCAACAGCAGCTACTCTTACATGAGTCCCACCTGTAGAGCATTTCAGACTAAAAAAAAGAAATAAATACGACTCCCCTGCTCCCAGATACGTGTATCTTTAAAAGTCTTTAACACAATCAGTTGGGAATCTCAACGTACTGATACATTCACTGAATAGCAGAAAACTAGTGCAGGAATTTGGCATAAAATTCAACAGCTGAGAGCGCTGAAGTGGTTGCGGGTTTTTGTTTTCATTCTTGCTTTAAGGATGGGAGGAAGGGATAGGACTAAAAAAGGAAGAAACAAAGTTTTAACCTTCAAGATGTGGTCAAATTATTATGATGACGTTTGAGCCTTTTCAGAGCTCTTTAAACTTAGATGGATTTGTACAAGTACCTCCCACTCTTTTTTCTCTCTGTGCTGGCACTGAAACTGCAGTATAAGGAGCAAAATGAACAACAGAAGGAGATGTTATGACCAAATACCTAAACTTGCGAGCCACACGTACGTATGAACAGCACATTACGTATTAGTTCTCTCAATAAGCACACTCCATTTGAATGTGTTTTTTGGATTTTTAAAACTCAATAACCAGCACTTAGGAAAAGCAAAACTCTCTGTGTAACTAATGGTAATGATATTTTACAGAACTTATAATACTCAGAAACTCTTGTTCCCAAGAGTTGTATCGGACTAACTTCTTGTCTTTCTTCCTATAATACAAAGACATCTGAATGATGTATTCTCAAGCTAAATCCTGTTTTAAAGCTAAATCCATGTTAAGCTGGGGAAAAAGAAACTTGGAGTTCCCAAAGAAAACTGGAATTACTTTTATAACATTTGTACTAACGTATCATGTTTCATACAGAGCTATATGCTAACCACCCACAATGAGACATGTTCACGATACTCTTGTCAGCCTGTACTTTAAATGTCTTGGGTTTTGTGGGTTTGGTGCTATAACCTTGGTACATAAAATTATTTTTTTTATTTCTTTCCATTCCAACACGCTACCATCAATCTACCTGTCTCTCTCTCTGGAACTCCTCTAAGCCCCACAAAAGGAAACAATACTCCAAGTTTGTTTCTGTTGGCTCTCACCTTCACTTCCAACAGTGAACATAAAGGACTAGTTGTTCCAGAGTGGGCCGTTGAGAGACAATGTATCCCTACCTCAGCAGTGAAAACCTTCTGCTTTCTTCATCCCCTCCCCCACTCTGAATGTACTCTTGCCGTCAGATGGCTTTCCCCCCGAATCAAACGCAAGAACTGCTTGACGGTTTCTCCAAATGCGTAAGGACGCCGTCCAGCATCTGCGTGTAGATCATGTCTGCTTCGTGCCAGGTGTCTCACATCTGGCGCTGCTCCTGCAGTGACCACCGTAATAAAACAAGAGGAGTCTCTGCCTGGCTTTCATCCTAATCATTCTCTAAAGAGCTCAATGAAAACTTGGACTAGGAATGTGAAAACCGTTAGTTTGCAGGGAGAAGGTTTAAATGGGAAGGCGGTTTGAAGGGGAGCAATAAACATCACAGCTCGGGACATCAAATGCCACAACAGCGCTTCATTTCCTTGCAGCCACGGATCGCCATCCGTTTTTTATTTTGTCTTACATGGAAAACATTATCTTTCATTGGGAACACCTTTAAGCCCAAACCACCCCCCTCATATGTAGGTAGAGATACAGATACAGTTTTGTTTTTCATTTTTAAATCTGGGAAGGGAGGGAATAGCCCAGCTACTTGTACTTAAGAGCAGATGAGCGCTTGGAGGATACCCAAGCCCCTGAAATATTATTGCTTTAACATGACTAAAGAGGAAACTTTTTAAATGACTTTCGGTAATTCTGTTCATGTTACTCAGCATCTAACTCTCAAGTTTGATGCCTTCCAAATTTCTTTTCACACCTAGCTTTTAGGGGAGATCCGACTGTCACACAGGAGTAAGTGTGCCTGGTATTGCTTTCAGTGCTTTCAAACCAACTGGTATCTGTACATACGAATGCAAAGCACTGACCAGCTATATAAATGGGGCTGTAGAGGCAGTGTGGCTGAAGAGGAGGATTCAGTGAAACAAGGGTGATAGTAACAGGAGAATGATTGAATGGGTGGACATAAGGCAACTTTAAACAGCTTGCCAGAGGAAAGAGTCTCCTTTTCCCATTTTCTTGTGCGGTATCTAATTTCTGGCTCCTCATTTCCTCCGTGATGTGATAATTATGAAATTCTAAATAATGTGTCATCTTTCTTGCAACAAATCAATGAACAGAAAGCTCCCATCAAAATGCAGATGTTTCCTAAAGCTCCTGCTGGCTATTTCCTGACTCTCTATCCCACAAACCACACAGCAAGTCCTTCGAGAACAGGGAACCCTCCGTACCCCATAACAAGTACGGCTTCTACGTGTGCGCGTGTGTGTATGTATTTAAAAAGAGGACTAAGAAGTACTATGGAACTGATAACAAGTCACCACAAAATCACCTTTTGTTACCAATTTCAGGTTGGGAATTTCACATTTCCAAATGCTATGGTACAAATGTGAGAAAGGAAAATTCCTACTTGTCCCTACAAATGCAATAAAATTGTTTGGCATTCCTTAACACAGATTTATACCAATAACACCCCCATGCACAAAATTATATTTTGTGCATTTCCTCTCCCTATAATACAATTTAAAATAATTCTACCCCAGTAGAAACAGAAAATTTTAAAAAAGAAAAAAAATAATTCCATCTTTATTCCTCCTGTGATCCTTATTATACAAGGGTCAACTATGTATTATTAAGAAATAAGAAAGTCTATGGGTTACTAACTAAGCTTTCAGGTTCACAACCAAGTCTGAGCTTATCTACTAATAAAGAACATTATGAAGAAGTTTGTTTTAAACACTCTTCCAGCCTACCAAATATTATAGATATTTTCACTTTTGCAACAAGCTCCTATCTTCTGCATTCTGTTTGTTTCAATTATTCAGGGCAACCCAGGCTGATAATTACACAGTCCCCAGTTGCTGAGTAAAAGTGATGCTTAATTAGCCAGCAGGAAAGATCGATTAAGATCCAGCAGAGCATCTTGTGAGGTTCTCTCACATTCCTGGAGGGAATAGAGTCTGGCTGTGCCCTTTGAAAGGATAAAGCTCCCTGCTTCCAAGGCGTTTCGGTGAGGTTTCTAAAGTAGATGCTGAGATCGGTCAGCCACACAAATTAACTCCCAGTTACAGCCCCGCAGATGCTCCCCTTTTTCCGAGAGCACTCAGATCCAACAGTCTGAGTCACATTGCCACCAGGTTGGAAAAGGCTTCAAGCAATGCTCACTTATCCCCAACCCTCTCGCAGTCACCACATCCCAAGTCTTTGAGAAGTATATTGTAAAGGATAGTTCTTATTTCTTCCTGCCCCATTCAGGTGTATGCATCCATCAGCTGCTCACGTTGTAAAAGATGCAAATTAGGTTAGGGCCTCTTATTAAAAAAATAAACACGATATCCCAACCCAGCCTGAGACTAAAACATTCCAGTACTGTCAAGGAAGTAACTGGCTAAGTCCGGTTTACATTTTTTTTTCACTAGGAAAGGAGATGTGAAGTTAAATCAGGACCAAAAACCACAAAGAAAACGAGTGATCTCGCACTGGCCTGACAGCTTCCCTTCGGTAGCTCGGACAAGCACAGAGGTTTCGTTTCTCCACTCGTTTCGCAAACGTGTTCAGGAAAGACCAACATCATCCAATGCCAAAGGCAGAATAATTATCTCAAGATACATAATTATCAAAATATTCCTATTTTGTTAAACTACGCTAGCTATACCTGCCCACTTCCAATTCAATTCAGTAAATATTTATTAAGCCTCATGGAAATGGCTAATTTATCTTGCATTTAAGTAAGTAAATAAACAAACACATTAAAATATTCATTAGGCCTATATCAAGTATAAAGAACTATGAGAGGTATGTCTTACCTTGTTAATTTATACACTACTAAGGTAGATTTCACTGATTATAAACTGTTTTAAAGCTTACGAAGAGGAAGAATGGAACCGTCTATACAAACCTAGTTTTGATTTGCTGAAAGCCCCGAAGAATGTGGTCTCTGTGGTCCCTCGCGACAGCACTGAGGTTCTCATTCCTCAAATCTTCTGCTAGAAACTCCTCGGCGTCTAAAAGAAAAAGAAAGCTGGTCAACAGAGAAGAAGTACTAAGGGAGAAAGAGGAAAACCTGAAGAATTAAGAAATGAATATTAAGCCCTGGCTGGCATAGCTCAGTGGATTGAGCGCAGGCTGTGAACCAAAGTGTCGCAGGTTCGATTCCCAGTCAGGGTACATGCCTGGGTTGCAGGCCATGACCCCCAGCAACTGCACATTGATGTTTCTCTCTCTCTCTCTCCCTCCTTTCCCTCTCTAAAAATAAATAAATAAAATCTTTTTAAAAAAGAAATGAATATTATTTTCTCCTTAAAAACTTTAAAGTTGCAGAACGATGTGAATGCACTTAATTCCATAGACCTGTACACTTAACAATGGTTAAAATGGTACATTTTATCAAAATAAAAAATAAATAAAACTTTATATGTGCCTGTAAGTGACACCTTTTGATAATCTAAGACACTGCAATGGATTTAGAAAGTTAAGGCATATATCAACAAGATAAAAACTATTTTCTAAATGATTTTAAAGGAACATTTTAGTAGTATTATTGATGGCAGAGGATGGACTACCATTTTCATAAACATAAGTATCACAAGCAATTCATGAAATGTCACAGATCAATAGAAGCTAGAAAAATACCAGTAAATAGAGCTGAAATGAAAAGCAGAGCTGAACTGCAAAGTCAAGAACAAAAAGGGCAGGAATCTGAAGAAGAAAAATTAATTAGCAGATGCATCATCAATGAAAATGACAATGCAACCAAATGAAGGAACCCGCATGGAAAAGAAAAATGTGTCCAAGAGAAGGAAACTTCAATTAATATGAGTATATATTATAACATAGGGACATGGTAGAAATATCTAATATGAAACAAATCATGATATATTGAAAGAAATTAGGGGTGGCACCTGTTAAGTTATCAAAGACAAAATACATTGATAATGGTTATGATGGTCAGACATACTAGATACATACTTTATTAGGCATAAATGGGTTATCATCCCCCAAAAAGTATATAATAACACAGTTAAAATTTTCCACTTCTAAAAATAGCACCTGCAATATGATAGCTTATATGATATAAGCTATCAAAATAATTTTAGAATGTATACAGTTGGGTTCCATAAGCACACTTAAAAATCTGTTTTACATTCATACCATTTAAAATCACCAAACAAAAAAATCCTAAGTAGCCATCACCAACATTTTTGATGAGGTATAAGATTCAGAAAATTAAAATTTTCACAGAGGACCACCATCAGCTTCTAAGCCCTGCATCACATCTATTGCATATGTCATTTAGTGGGTTCCTCCAAGGTCCTATGAAGGCTAAAGATTGAGGAGATGGGAAGTTAAATTAAAAGGTAAAAATAAATGAAATCCATGGGGAGCAGTGGGACAGGGGGGATTGGTAGGGGGAAATGGAGACAACTATACTTGAACAACAACAAAAAAATGTTAAAAGAAAACACATAAAGAACACATGATGATCATCTCAAAAGCTACAGAAAAAAATTGACAAAATTCAAAAGCTCTTCATGATAAAAATCATTCAACAAACTAGGAATTGAAGAATATTTTCTCAGCCTGATAAAAAACATCTACAAAACCCCAACAGCTAATATCATACTTAACAGTAGAAGACTCAATGCTTTCTCCCTGTTCCTAGGTCAAGAACAAGATGAGAATGACTGCTCTCACCATTTATACTCAACATTGTACTGGTGCTAGCCAAGGCAATTATGCAAGAAAATAAAATGAAAAGAGTCTAGATTATAAAGAAATAAGTAGAGCTATCTCTGCTTGCATATTGATTGGTCTTGTATATTGAAACTCTACGGAATCCACTAAAAATGATCAGAACTAATAAATGAGTTTAGTAAGTTTGAAGGATACAAGATTAATATACAAAATCAATCGATTTTCTATATAGCAACAATGAACAAACTAAAAATGAAATTAGGAAAGTTCCATTTAAGACAGCATAAAAAAGAATTCAATATATGGAGATTTAACAAAAGAAGCACAAAACTCAAACTCCAAAAACTATAAAATATTACTGAAAGACATTAAAGACCTAAACGGAAGGACATCCCATGTTCATAGATGAGAAGACTTATTATTGTTAAGATGACAATATTCACCAAATTGATCTAGTGACTTAATGCAATCTCTATCAAAACATCTTTTTATTTTTGCAGAAATTGACAAGTTGATCCTAAAATTCATTAGGAAAGTCAAGGAACCCAGAATAACCAAAACAATTTTGAAAAAGGAGAACAAATTAGGAGGACTCACATATTCTGCTTTCAAAACTTACTAAAGAGCTACAGTAATCAAGACAACATGGCCCCGGCACAGAGGTAGATGTAGATCAAAAGAACAGAATTGAGAATTCAGAAATAAACACACAGCCCTGGCTGGCGTAGCTCAGTGGATTCAGCATGGGCTGCGAACCAAAGTGTGGCAGGTTCGATTCCCAGTCAGGGCACATGCCTGGGTTGCAGGCCATGACCCCCAGCAACCGCACATTGATGTTTCTCTCTCTCTTCCTCCCTTCCCTCTCTAAAAATAAATGAATAAAATCTTTTAAAAAAAGAAAGAAAGAAACACTCACATTTCAAGTCATTTATTAGCTTTTGACAAGGATACCAAGACAATCCAATAGGAATGAACAAGGTTGGTTTTTTTAAAAACAAATGGTTTTGAAACAACTAAATATCCATCCACGTGCAAAAGAACAAAGTGTGGCTCCTACCTCATGCAATATACAAAAGTTAACTCAAAGTGCACCAAATACCCAAATGTAAAAGCTGAAACTGCAAAACTCTCAAAATAAAGTCATGGCCTCATGACTTCGGATCAGGCCATCTTTTCTCAGGTATGCCACCAAAAGAACAAGCAGCATCGCGCATCATCAAAAGTAAAAACCTGTGCTTCCAAGGGTGCTAACACAGAAGTGGAAAGACACCCCGCAGAACGGGAGAAGACTTCTGCACATCACATAGCTGATAGGAGACTTACAATGTCTTAGAACTCAATAATGAAAAAACAAATGGCCCGATTTAAAAGTGAACAAAGGATCTGAATAGTTATTTAGCAAAAGACATGATGTAAATGGCCAATTAAAAACATGAAAAAGATGCTCAGCACCAATAGCCATCAGGGAAACGCAAACCCAAAGCACAATGATGCACCACTTGTGTACTGTGTTCTCGCCACCCAGAGCCAGTCTCCTTCTGCCACCATATATCTGACCCCTTTACCTTCTTCTACCTCCCTCCACCCGCCTCCTCCTCTGGCAAACACCACACTGTGGTCTGTGCTTATGAGTTTTTGTTTGTTTCTTTTGTTTGAAACTCATATAAGCTGATTAACAAATGTCACTCCAAAAAATTTAGGAAAATTTAAAAAGCACAGTGAGATACCACTTCACACTAGGATGGATACTGTCAAAAAGCAGACAATAATGATTGTTGTTGGACATTCAGAAAAACTGGGCCCTCATACACTACTGCTAGGAATGTAAAACGGTGCTGACACTTGGCAAAATAGTCTGGCAGCTCTTCAAAAGGCTAAAGAGAAAGTTTCAACATGACCCAGCAATTCTACTACTAGATATATAACCAAGAGAAATGAAAATGGATGTTTAAACGAAAACCTGTACACAAATATTCCTAGCATCTTATTCTGTTAAAAATATATATATTTATTTATAGTTAGAAAAAGGGGAAGGGCGAGGGAAAGAGGAGGAGAGCAACATCAACGTGAGAAACATCTCTCTCGTGTGCCCCAACCAGGGACCAAACCCACAGCCCAGGCATGTGTCCCAACTGGGAATCGAACTCGTGACCTTTCCCTTTGTCAGATGATGCCCAACCAACTGAGCCACACCAGTCAGGGGAGCAGCATCATTCTTAATGGCCAATACGTGGAAAGAACCCAAATGTGCATCAACAGATGAATGAATTAATACGATGTGGTATATCTATACAAGGGAATATTATTCGGCAATAAAAAGAAATGAAATACTGATATATGCTACAACATGAATGAATCTCTGAAATCATTATGCTAAGCAAAATACGCTAGTCATAAGGACAGCATTTATATGCAATATACAGAATAGGCAGATCTATAGAGAAAGAGAGTGAATTAATGGATGCCTAGAGCTGTGGGAGGGAAGGAGGGAGAAGGATTGAGGGTTAGGTTTTCTTTTGGAATGATGAAAATGTTCCAAAATTTAGTGTGCTGATGATTGCACTACTCTGAATATACTAAAAGCTGTTGAAGTGTACACTGCAAATGGATGGGTTTTATGGTATATGAACTACAGCTCAATAAAGTTGATAAAAATATAAATAAACATCTTTACATAACAAAATATAAATAACAACATACTTTCAAAATTTAAAGAAAATAAAACATCCCTCAAACACCCAGACAGAAAAAATAAGTTGCCTACAAAGCAACAGAATAAAAATGGCCTCTCTACAAAATGGGAAGATGGAATATTTACAGAGTTTTAAAGGAAAAAAAATGTGCTCAAGAATGTAAAAAGCCAAGATATTGGTTACACACAAGGAGATGGGGGAAAAAAACAGTTTCAAACAGTTATAGCTCTCAATGTCTACCACCTTCATTCTTTCCTGAAGAAAAGCCTCTTTTTTAAAAAATTTTATTTTAATCATTGTTCAGATACAACTTTCTCCCTTTTACTCCCAATCCAGCCCCCCGCCCAACCGTCCCCACTTCCCTCCCATTACCACCCTCCCCCTAGTTTATGACCATGTGTCCTTTAAGTTTGTTCCCGTGAACCCTTCCCACTGTCCCCTTAAATTCCCTCTTCTCTCCCCTCCGGTCACCATCAGCCTGTCCTCTATTTCAGTGTCTTTGGTTATATTTTGCTTGTTTCTTTGTTTTGTTGTTTAGGTTCCTGTTAAAGGTGAGATCATAAAAAGCCTCTTAAGGATATACCCTGATCAACAGAAAGGTGGTGACGAGTAGTAAA